CCTGATGTACTGCATGGTGTCTCGTGTGCTTAATGACAGCTCTTTCAGTTGATCCATGTGTAATTATACCAAAACGCAGGCTGATGAGTTCGTGGCTAAGCCAGGTTGGACACGGGTTTCCTGTCAGCAGCTGGGCTCCTAAGCTGTAGGATGTATTTGAATTTCTGAAATCCTATGGGAAGATGTTAGTGGGCAGGTGCTCCTCTGTCCCAAACTTGCCAAGTGACCTGCAGTGTGGTGTTACCTGAGCTTGGGCACGAAGTTCTGAAATGCCTGTGTGGAGTGACTTGCTTGACAGGGATGGCGATATAGCTTCAGAATGAGACAGTAACCACTTAAATTACTGCCTGGAAAAGCAGGAGTGACTTGTTCATAGTCTTTCTGGATGGAAAGCGAGGAAGCCTTCTTAGAAGGGGAGAACTGACTGAAGAGAGTGACTGGCAGAACCACACAGTACTTGGACAAAAGTAGACAAAACAATCTAAGTGTAATTCAGTATTATTGCTATTCCCTTGCAGGGCATCAGAGGCACTTTGAAGATGGCCTTACTTGCAGACAGCTGCTAGTTAAGGGCCCTGTGCTTTCTGATCACGCATGTAGTAAGTGTGTATTTTCCCAATAAATCATTGTCGGCTAACACCAGCTTGCTCTCAGATACTGAACTATACTTTTATTGCAACTTTCTCTTCCTACCTAACCTTCCTGTGATGTGTGAAGTGCACTTGGATGACTTCAGAACTGGGGTTGGCTTTGCCTGACCAGGAGTAGCTAATGATTTTTCTGTCTGAAAGGGAGCAGTCCCTTACCTGAGAGCAGAGGAACAAGAGGAGCTTGGCAGATGAAGTTTGTCTCTGGATTGGCTGCCTCTGAATGAGTTACTGGAAGAGACAAAGTGAGAATTTAAGCTGTGAAGTTCACTTTGGTCTGTGGACCTCCTACTTTCATAGGCTGTGAGGTAACATGCAACTTCTGGGACAGATCTGCAAGCTTGACCTGGTCACCTGTTTCCATAAACCAGTCTTGCCACTTGGACTGTGTTTCCCAACCTAGTGGGCAGTATCAGTTATTAAATGTGATGTGGACTAGGTATTAAGGGAGGGGGGGTTGGGGTGGTGGAGTGTGTGTGAGAGTATGCTGTTTCCTGGAATCCTCTTGCCCTGCAAGATCCCAGATGTACCTTCCTAGATGAAGGAAGGGGAAACAGCTGTGTCTGATGCTGTTGCCTTTTCCATACATTAGTAATCTTAATTTGGAGAGCAAAAACAGTGTTCACTTGTCATCTGGTATTTTCAAGACTACAAATAGTTGCTGTTTCTGTATACAACAACATCATTGTACTTTGCTCAACAGCTCTGTATTCATTGTTGGTGATGGCTAATGTTGCTGGAAGCATTGAGGGTTACTGATTTGTTTCAACATAGAGTTGAAGAAATTTGTCCTGAAGTAAATGTGTTTATGACTTGTTGGAATGCTAGCTTTATTACAAACAAATGATAATGCTTAGGGAACCAGAAAGCTGTAACAGAACCTCTATAGAATGCTAATAGTAATGAGATGCCCATACTTGCTGGTGTGCAGGTTCTTTATTAGGGCTCCTGAGGCTCTGACCTAAGGTGAAATTTCTTTTCAAACAGAATACATCTACCAGAAGTAGGGGTACACCCCTCTGAACTCTGGGGATGTACTGAAGGCTAGTGTTTAGTGCACTCCCAGATAGTTTCTAAGCTTTGCTGAGGACAGGAGTGAGCAGCCTTAACGTATAGGTTATGATGCTATTGCTTTGTAACGGAAAGTGTGATTTCAAAATAAGGCGGACTTAGTAATGTGATCTTTAACATAGGGTTTGGGGCTAGGGTTGGGTTTTTTTCCCCCCCCCGAGTATCTTGCCCTGTGTAGAAGACAGTTGAGTTCAAGGCAGCATTTCTTTGTTAATTCTAGGGCTAGGAGGGCTTTCATCTATTTAAGATGGTTGTTCACTCAAATCTTGTGTCTTGAAAGTCTGACTGCATGCTTACTCATCCCTAGCTCTTCCTACCAGTGTGTAGGAATGTTCTTCTGAAAGAATGGAAAGAGCAAAGTACTTGTCTTATTCTGTAACTTACACTAGCTTTTACTAGAGGGTTTTTGGGAGAAGAACTGCCAGCTATATCTTATCAGTGGTGATGGAGTAGTTATTTAGTTATTTGTAGTATCCCTGAATGCTGTCTCCTATATTTTGTGGCTGACTCAGTGATGGGCATGTTATTGACTTGTTAACATCTGAGAGTTCATGAGTTCAGGCTGCTGAGTTCAAGTGACTTAGTGGGTTTTTTAAGCTTATTGACTTGGTTCAACCACTGTAAATCTAGGATCACAAAACCACTTTAGTGAACAAGTTCAGACTTTAACTTGTGAGTTCCTGCTAAGTCATAGTATAAATATAGTATCTTAGACTGTCTCTGAGGTTACGTTCTTGTTATTAATACTGAAATAGGGTATTCAAACTTGCAGCTCAAGTTCTAAGTGCTTGCCTAGTAAAAAGTAACTGATCAGGTTTTCTAAACAGGCTGAAAGTTTGAGTGATAAACATGTTTTTGCCATTGTAGGCTTATTCGATGTGGCACTTCAGTAATATGGTTCTAAATTCTTTATTCAGATAACAAATGTAAACTAACAGTAGACCGAAACACCTCATCTTGCTTTATTTTCTTGTTGTTTAGCTGAATAAGTTTTGGTGCCTGACCAAGTATCATGTGCAAGTAAATTGTTTTATGTTCTGTCCCAAGAAAGATGGCAAAAAGCCCTGTAGATAAATCTGTAGACATAATACAGCTTGAATTTTACCTTGTATCTGTGTAGTTCCTTGAAATATGGATAACACCTTTTAAAACAATGGAAATATCAGTCAGCCTGATGAGGTAGCTGAAATGAAATTTGCTTTGGTTTTGTATGTAAGAAATGCCCTGATAAGCTGACATTTTTTTTTTGTTTGTAACTGCATTATTAATCTTACCATGCCTTCCACTCTGAAAGAAGCTAAGCCTTTCTGAAAAGGGTATGTTTAACTTTGGGAGGCTTAAAAATTAAGGCGTGTTAGCTAACAAGACTTCAGCATAGACAGTGTTTTGGGAAGTGTGCATAGAAAGTATGATTACAAACCATTCTAGACTAAGCATGGAAGCTGAACTGATACTGAAGAAATACCTAATTCTGTTCTCATGGGCAGTACTAAGCTGCTTGATTCTTTGCCCTTTTGGAAGAATAGCAGTTAATGGTTGCTGCTTTCTTGAAGAGATGATACATTCAGTTTTGACACTAAACCATCTTCTTTACTCACTAGTAGGTTGTTTTATTAAAACTGGGGATACAGGTGTGAAGACAGTGACTTCTAAATTTGCATCAAAGATATTAGGTCAGTTTGATGCATGGATAAACTTTAGTATGTAGTTTCTGTAAATAGTCTGAGTTATAAGCCAAAAAGTTTTATATAAGCCAAAATTCCCATTTGGTGTTTCTAAGTGCAGTTCGAAGCGGTGCTTTCCAGTTTATATGTAAGACTGTGGTGATATTTAGCAGCTGGTTACAGGTTTAGCTAGAAGAAATGCTACAATAGACAGATGAAATAGTTTAAATACCACTCATCCAGATTACTGACTTTTGGACCTGGCTTACAGTGAGTAAGTTTGAATTGGGCCATGTTGCCTAGGTTAAGTTAAAGGGAAAACAGTTGTAACAGGGTGAGGTATACTGGTGATGGTTATTGTCCCTGATTTAAAAAAAAAATCAATTACTGATGTACTTTCTGAAGAACTGTTGGTGTTGTTCAGCACAAATACGGATGTCGTGGAGGCATTGTAATGCTGTGTAGCTCTTGGATGTGATGAATACAGCCTTTCAGGGGCCTCTGGTCAGTAAACAATATTATTCATGGTCAATCACAAAGCACAGCAGCCTGTCCTTGCAGTGTAAGCATATGGTGTTTCTACAACTGCTAGGTCAAGGTTGTTCAGGAGATAAAAATAGGACGGTTATCTCTCAAACTGTACCTTGCAAACTTCTGATGAGAGCTGGGAGAAGTGTAGTTAAGTGTCTGTGCAGCCTGCTTTCTGCTTGCAGCCCAGGTGCGTAGGAAAACCTTGACGCTGTCCTAAAGTTTTTTCTGTAAATAACTTGTTATTGCATTAATGTTTTAATTTTCAGAATAAATATTTGGTTTAGCATTTGAGATGTCTCAGTGCTGCTGAACAAAAATACAAGACTTGCAAGGTGCTGTTGTCCTCTTTTTCCATTTCCCTTATGCGCATAATGAAGAACCAATTTTTAAATTTTTCAGTAGCCCCTTGAATTGAAACATCTTTAAAATGAGACTTGAAGCTTTTTTCTTATTTAGCACTGTAAGCCTATTTGAATGTTGCATGCTTAGGCATGAAAGTGGTGATGGAGAGCATCCTTTGAGATTTTGACAATATGTGATATTCTGTGGTGAATGCAGAGCTGTCAAGTTCTGCTTCAGAAGCCTCTATGTTGCTGCTTCCTCAGTCTGTCACTCTTGGTATCTGAGTTTGCAAGAAGGATTAAAAGGTGGCAGGAAGAAGGGACATCATTTTATATAAGTAATACATTTCTCTCCACGTACACTGATTCAGGTGCCCTAAAGTGACAGTTTAACTTGCACTGTCTTACATGAACAAATTATTTTCTACATCAACTTATATTTGGATATACTTTTCAAGTATTGATTTAAGCTTTTCTTAAGTACTCTTATACTTGGTCTTAACTTCAGAGGGTGCCCATCCTCATTCTAGACTGGGTAAAGAAGGGGGTGGGGAGCTGAGCTGACCAGTGGTGGTATGCACCATGTCAAAACAACATGCTTTTGTTCATGGGTGTTTTATGTAGTACATGCTGATGTTTAAATCGGCAGCAAGTTATCCAATCTGGATTAAAATGACTTTTGGAATGGTAGCACACAAACTCTCCACCAGCTGAGAATTTGTCAACTATTCCTTGCACTTAATCAGTTATCTCCTGTTGATTAGGTACTTCCACAATTTTGTGTCTGGTATGGGGAATGTGGAGTTGCTTCTGGAGACAAGAGATACAACTGTGCATATGATGGACCACCAATAGCACTACCAGAGGATGGCTATGACTTAATGCAGGTGAGCTTTTTTTCTTTTGGAAGCCTGCTGCTGAGAACTCTAAAGTGCAGGAGAGTTAGTTTTGTATTGGGTTCTGTTGGACCTGTGCTGTGACCTATAGCTGCTTTCTTCTAACTTGAGGACAAGAACAATTTGAGGATGGAAAAGTGAACAGATTATCTCTGATTTCTTTGGTGTAGCTCATAATGCCAGCTGTGTGAAGGTAATATGCTTCAGATGCTGCTCACAGATATGAGAAGTCTGCAAAACATGTGATTACAGGCTTTCACAAACATAACCTTAAATACAGGATTGGTTCACTTTTCCTGCGTGTTCTCCTCACTGGTTTGAGCACTCTTTAGTCAGACTGTTTAACTCTTCCAAACTACGATACATTCTGCAGTTATGTCCTTCTGGTCTCTACAGGATAACTAAACTGTTTTTCATCAAAGATTATTCCTGACCGCTTCCGTAAATAGGAAGGCATTAACTGACACTCATTCAAATGAAGCAAACCTGAACAAAGTTCAGTCTCCATAGCTGTGCCTAGTGTGAGACCACATTTTCTTATCTGGGCTTCAGCTGTCAAAGTGAACAAAACCAAAGTCAAAACAGAGTTTATGGATTTGATGCACAAAATGGGATGTTATTGCTGGACTTGCCTTCTAGCAGATGATAGTTCAAACTTCTAAAGTGTGAAGCGGCTATACGGTTAAACAGTGGTTTGGCTGGTGGCAGGAGTGACTTAGATATGTAGGTCAGCTAGCTACTGTTTTGGACTGTTCTGAGGACTTAATGTGCAGTTCTTGCATTTAATAAAAGCATAACTGATAGTAACATACATTTGTCTCTTCTATAGACTGAATGTGAAATAGCTCTTACAGGTAATCAATAATTTTGTGGTTAGTGGCTTGCCTTCCGAGACTCTAGAAGCTGATATTATCCAGAAGGTATTCTAGAGGATAAGCTGCAGGAATACTTTCAACTTGGATAAACAAGTGTTGTCCTCTCAAATACCATTATCATTCTATATATAGACCCTGGTGACTAAAGATCATCTGAAGGAGCTTTTAAAAAGGAAGCGATGCCTTGAATAAGAGAAGTGATTCTTTTTCCTACTCTCTGAAGAATCTCAAAGGCTAGACTTTTTTTTTATGTATCTCCCACAGCAACAGCTACTGTCCCCTGAAATATACTGAAGCAGAACCCATGACTGTAATGAGTTCTGAAGTCTTAAACATGCTTTTCCTTTTTCACCTCCCTGGTTTCAATACTGTTTTTATTTAAGGAACTGTGTCCAGGTTTATTCTTTGGCAATGTTAGCACTTGCTGTGATGTTCGTCAGCTTCAGACATTGAAAACCAACTTGCAGCTGCCCCTGCAGTTTCTCTCCAGGTATGTTAATGAATGTCAAAGCACCTAGAGCTTTGTAACATAGTAAAAAAAGTACATTAAGACTTTTCTGTTCAAGTAGACTGTAGAAAAGGTGTTAATTTCCTCTAAAAGCTTATTGGAGCAAGCTCTTGGGGAGACTTGGTCATCCACATGGGGAGGTTTTAATTTTCATGAAACAACTCCTTGCAGTCTGGATTGTTTTAGTTGGCAAACATTACCTTTAGTATGTCTCAAGCTACTGTATTCTTAATGAAACCTTCAGAAGAGGGTGACACAAAGTACTGTTCAGTCTTATTCTAACAGAAGTCTTCCTGCTAGCAGCAGTGAAGTTTTCCTTCAAATTTTAGTCAAATCCTGCTTATGCTGGCTATTTGAGCTAGGCAGTTTTGCTAGTGGATGATAGTGCTGCTACTGATGAGGATTAAGTAATTTTAAGCACGAACTAATGTTGTTTAAGTTCTGCAGGATTTTACTTAACAATACGTTTTCTTCTGTCACTGAGCAGAATGCTTATGCTGCTGTGTAGATCAAATCTGATGTGCCTTGCCTCTGTACCTCTTAATCTGATTGTTCGCTGGCTTTTCCCAGATGTCCATCGTGTTTTTACAACTTGATAAACCTCTTCTGTGAACTGACTTGCAGTCCAAACCAGTCTGACTTTTTGAATGTTACAAGCACCATACCTTATTATGATCCAGTTTTAAAGGAGAACAAAAGTAGCATTACGGAGCTGCAGTACTTTATTGGAGAACGTTTTGCAAGTGGTGAGTAAATGTAGGCTTTTGTGAAGGTAACAAGACCCATGCTTTCTCAGGAAGAACTGGGAGGGGGAACCTTCTGTGTGGTGAAGTTTGAGGACATAAGGGAGACCTACTGGTACCTATTTGAAACTGCTGGAAAACTAACTTCTGACTGGGTCAACATTGTTAATAGCTGTTTTTGAAGACTCAGCTGAGACTAGACATCTCCAAGTGGTAAATGATAATCCTGGTGACTTTAACTTCAGAAACACAAAGTTGTTGCCAAATAGTGCATGTCCAAAGCCTACCTGATACTGTAACTGTCTGGCAAGCTACAATAGTAAGCCACTCACTCCTCTTGAAGTGAACTGTGTCTAGTCCTTTGTCCAATCCAAAGGTTTCTTCTAAGAACAAATGTGGCATGTATTTTGGTTGCATAGCAAGCTCGAAGCATTAATTCAGTCTTTGTACACTTGATGCAGTAACCTTTAATCAAGTTATGAGGTACTTGAAAGTCATATGACCTACAGGTCTAAAACACCTTAAATATTTGTCAGAACTTTCTCTGAAAGGAACTTTAAGTACTGTTCGCTTTCAAACAGTAAACTAGGTTCTAGTGTAATGCAGATTCAGTTGGCCTACTCAGAGGAAAGTGGTTGTAACAAAGCATTGTAACCTTGAATACTGTAAATAAAACCGAAAGGTATTTTGCTATCTTAATGTTTCCTTTTGAAAGCTATAAACATGTCCTTTGAATCTGGTGAGTCTTTAACTCTGGAAACTATTTCTTATGCTTAGTCCAATAGTAATGTTGTTTTAACTCTTCTGTCTTTGTGTCTTCTTCCTAGCAATGTATAATGCCTGCAAAGATGTGGAGGCTCCATCAAGTAATGTTAAAGCACTGGGGCTGCTGTGTGGGAAGGATGTGAAGGACTGCAATGCAACCAACTGGATTGAGTACATGTTTAATAAAGACAATGGACAAACTCCTTTCAGCATTATTCCTGTCTTTTCAGGTAAGAAACTGAATAGTCCCTGCCTTTGAATCTTCTGTCAAAGACTGTGCTATAGCTAGTAATTATTTTGTTAAACAGCTACTCAGCAATGAATGTGTGCACTGTGGCTTTCAAAGCAATGTAAGAAACTGATTATATCTTTTTTTTCCTGCTTGGAAGTCATGCTTTTGCATACAAACCAAGCATAAAGTATATGTTCTTGCTGCATAGATCTCAAACTCATTAAGGGATGGACTCAGCTTAGGCAGCTGCATAGCTTGTATTCCCTGGGAAGCTAGGGCGATAGCCTGATCCTTTAGGATTTCTTTGTAAGGAAGTTGTTAAGCATATGTCATTTTAGTTAGTAGACAATTGTAAATAGTTAGTACCTGTTATGGAAAAAGCAGTGGAAGCTCTAGCCGGAAGACCAGGAAAAGCTACTTTGTATAGATGCTAGGGGCTCTCATATAAATGGGAATTTTCAAATAAAACTCATTTAACTGGGAAGCTTGTGTTGTGAATGTCTGAATCTTTTTACTTGGTAATAAACTGGCTCTGCAACTTGTGATTTGTCATAGATGTTCCTATCCATGGAATGAGTCCTATGAACAATGCTACCAAAGGCTGTAACGAGTCTGTGGATGATTCAACAGCACCATGTAGTTGTCAGGACTGTTCAATTGTTTGCGGTCCAAAGCCTCAGCCCCCTCCATTGCCTGCCCCTTGGCTTTTGTTTGGTTTGGATGCTATGTATGTCATCATGTGGATCTCCTACATGGGATTTCTGCTCACGTTTTTTGCACTAGTTTTTGGAGTATGGTGTTACAGGTAAAGTATTTGAAATGATCAGCTCTGAAAGTCACTTGCCTTTTCCCTGAAAACTTTCTCTGCCCAAGACAGAATGCTTACGTGTCCACTACTTCACCCAGCCAAAAGTCATGTTCTGTGGCAGGTACTTGTAGTTACAGGGAGTGTTCTAATGCCTAAAACCATGTGGTAGAAAGTGAATGCAGAAGTCTGTTTAGTTGATGCACAACTCTCGTAGCATCCCTAGCTACAGGATCAAAAATACACAAATCTAGAGCTTTCAGGAGCAAGAACTTGAGAGCAGGCAGAAGTCTGTGGAAATGCTTGTATCTGCATCATCTGATTGAGAATTATTTGCAGTAAAGTCTTAGTTCAACAGTCTGTTTTTGGATGGTGTGTATTAAAGATACCAGAGCACTGCCTTCCAGGAGCAGCCTTCATGCTCAAATGTCCAACTTCTCTGGAACCTATGGGGTTTTACAATGCTTAGGACTGGGTCGGTACGCTAATAAACCAGTATCTTGGAGAACCTGTGTGACTAAAAGTGCAATCCTATTCTCTTCCTGAAACCAATTGTTCCTGAAATTGTAATTGGAATGAGCTGGAGAATTCCAGTGATGACTGCTGTTTACCACATGCAGTGTTTCATTAAGCCCTCCATTGCTTCTGGCTGTTGAACACTTTTCACGTGTAACACACCATACTTTGTTAGGAGATCTGGCTGAGGGGGAAAGCATCACTAGGGCTTTGACTTGAAGATAATGAGATCATAGGAACTCAATTTAGGATCAGTGGGGGAGAGCAAAATCTGGTATTGGCAGCAATGTGCAATCATAATACAGTCCTGTAGACTAATACTTGTAACAAAACAATCACTGCCCTATTGCAAATTAAGTGATGAATAACTTTCCTTAGTCTCCTGCTTTGGAAAAAAAAAGAGCTGAGCTTCCAGTAGTTACAGCCTTTTGGAAAGCAGAGGGCAGCAAGCCAGCTTCTCTGTGCTGTGATACTCGCTAGTAAAGTGCACAGGTAACTAGCTGTAAATGCTTTGGTGTGGGTGTTCTAGCAATCCAGAGCAGTGGAAACCTATTAATACTTCTTATTAGCATTTTCCAGAGGCTTTCACTGTCTAATATCCTTATGTATGGTGGTACTTTTCAGTGCAACTTTAATATTGTTCAGTTATGACCAGGAATCTGAAACTGCTGTATAATAAGAATTAAATCTGTGTGGAAAAGGATAGTGGGTACAATGAACTTATGACATGCTCAGCAGCCTTATCTTACTGGGTGACATGCATGTTATGCTACACGGAATGGTGAAGGTGTTTGAGAGGTCTGGTTCGTAGCCCAGAGCATCCTGCCATAACAGGAGGTCTGATTAGATTACCATGAGGAGGCTATTGAACTCTCCTGCTCTGGGTATCAGGAATGGATGTAAGCAATATAGGTGGATCATAAGTGTGCTGTGCTATACCTCACCTGTCTTCAGGACGGGAAGCAAACACCTTAGTTTCCTTCTTCCTCACTTCCCCCTCTCTTCAGGCAAAGTAGGTGTAACAAGCAGTTTGGCTAATGAAGTGAATTACTTATAGTGTAGAAATGTCATGCAAGTATCACTGTAAGTTATGATCAGTGTAAAGAGATTCTCTGTGCTGTTAATGCTACTGACAGTCTAAATATCCACAAAGAACACGTGCTTGATCAGAACTGGAAAAGTTTATTAAGACAGCTAACGTGGCTGTAAGTTGTTCCGGTGGATCATAAAGTGGAGACTGCAGTTTGTGAGTGGATGGGTGTAGGGGAACATGGCTCCTCTAGATTCTGGAGGAGTTAAATATCACATTTATTACTAGTGTTGGACTACATCTTTTGGGATTTGCAGTAAGAATAGCTTTTTGAGGTAGTGAGGTAACATCTTTTTGTCTTGCAGGAGGCGGCACTTTGTCTCAGAGTACACACCAATTGACAGCAATGTAGCCTTTTCTGTGAGTTCCCATCGTGACAATGGTATGTCTCGGATAAGAGCAATAGATTTATTAGAAACTCAGCTTAAGTGCATCCCCTTCCTGTGGATGGGCCCTTGAGTTTTAGCTATGGGCTGTATAATCCATTCTTAGAGTTTTATTTCAGTCTTTTGGCCAATATCTCCTTTTTAGAGTAGTACCTAGCCCTGTTTTTGCTGGATGCTGAAAGCCCTGATTGCACAGTTCATGGGCCTAGCAATGCTAATAAATTCTGGAATGCTTTGTAGCTGGGGACGAAGTGGGCAAGACGATGCTCAAATCAATATGATAGTGTTCTGACCCATCCATGTATCCATTCAAAGCAGGCCATGAAAGAACTGTAGTTTCGTTTGTGTAGCAGCAGAGGTAGCTCTTTTTAATACTTACGTGTCTTTTGCCTGCCTACTGATGTCAAAGAGAGCTTTGCGTTAGAAGGGGCAGTGTTAGGTACAAGCTGGTTTCTGCCCCCTTGACCTCAGCCAAGGACTGGTCACTGGGTCGGTCTGTGTGGATACAGCTTTTGGCAGTTCCTACAAACAGCTAGGATAAAATTTCATATTTCCTAGTGGACTTCAAGAAAATGCTGCTTAACTGACTTCTCAAACATTTACTGTTTACTTCTTGCTTTTACAGGGAAAATTACCTGTGGTGAAAGGTTTGGTGAAAGGTTTGAGAACGGCTTAAGGATGACTTTCACATCGTGGGGGGCTTTCTGTGTCAGAAATCCACGTCCTGTTATCCTCTTCTCGGTGGTTTTCATTGCAATGTGCTGCTCCGGCTTTGTCTATGTTAAGGCTACTACAAACCCTGTGGACCTCTGGTCAGCCCCAAGTAGCCAAGCTCGCAAGGAGAAGGAGTACTTTGACACACACTTTGGGCCTTTCTTTCGTACCGAACAACTCATTATTCAAGCGCCGAACAGCCGTCCAGACACCTACTCACCTTACCCATCGGGAGCAGATGTACCTTTTGGGCCTCCACTTAGAAAAGAGATTCTCCATCAGGTAATTGAGACCTCTCAAGAGCAAAGATGTAAACATACCTAATGAGTATAACCATATGGAGTTGGCTTCCATCAGTAATGCCATGTATCCATCAAAACAATCACTAAGTATTCATATTAAAACCCCTAATCTTACTCCAAAACCTCTAATTGTACTACAAGGTGTGTTTTGCTGAAAACCTTGTCTTTTAACCTCTTCTCTTAGAAGCAGACTTGGAAGCTGAGTCCCGGTAAGTATTCTTAGTGTGAACACAGAAATAATGAGATCTAGTCCTGTGCTTCTACTGATGTGTGCCACTGCCTTTGGAAACTTAAAGGAATATAGTATGCACTTAAGTCCTGTTTTGTGCTGCTCTTAAACTATGGTCTCTTTTTTTTTTAAGGTGCTGGATTTGCAGGATGCTATTGTCAACATAACTGCATCTTTTGACAATGAGACTGTAATGCTGAAAGACATTTGCCTGGCTCCTCTTGCTCCCTACAACAACAACTGCACTATACTGAGTGTACTCAACTACTTTCAGAACAGTCATTCTGTACTAGATCACACTATCGGGGATGAGTTCTTTGTCTATGCTGACTACCACACTCACTTCCTATACTGCGTGCGGTAAGCAGTACGGTTACTTGATCTACCTGTAGGCCAACACGGTCTTTGTCTTGCTGGCAAACAATACTAGCTAGTTATTTCTGCCCCTTGAACCTTTTCTTACCTGTTTTAAACTCTCAATACTATGTGGAACTGCAGATGATAGATTACTTCTGTTTCTTTGTCTTGGTGCTACAGCAGGAGTTGCATTTTAGTCAGGTTTCAGGTTAAGCTTGGTTTGGTGGAGGCACTGGCTGTTTTACCATAAGCATGTTTCAAACACTTCTGAGAAGTGAAATTCTGATACAGAAGACTGTTTCTAAGCTTTCACTTCAGTTTATAGTGCAGCTGGGTAGAAGCCACTCCTTGTCTTACAAGCTATAAGGACGACTCCTTTAAAATGGTATTTAAATTCCAAGCAAACCAGCACAAGGGCAATGTATCACTAGCAGTCTTGTCTTGTTTCTCTCTTGATAGTCAGTTGTAACACAACAGCTGTCTACTCTGTTGTCCTGTGGTGCTGTGCCTTTCCTGTCAAGCAAAAGCTAACAGTTATTGGTGGTGGTCTCTTTTTTTAGGGCTCCAGCATCACTGAATGACACAAGCTTGCTTCATGATCCCTGCTTAGGAACATTTGGTGGACCTGTATTTCCGTGGCTGGTGTTGGGAGGGTATGATGGTAGGTGGCAAAAGTGTTGCAGTTTCAAGTCTTCAAAGTACCTGCTTGCGTGCTGCCCCTGGTATTAAAGGTGCATTCTTATTTAACACATGTTCACAGGCACTCCAGGAACTGGAGTTTGTTAAACTTCCCGTGAGGATCTTTTAATTAACTTCCTGGTAGATCAGTGCTGAGATTGGAGGCAGACTGCTTGCACTTGGCATGTCTGGAGTAGTCTGTTTCTGGAACATACTTCTCTTGTTGACAAGTATGCAAGTGTTCAGTCTACTTTGGGCCTGCTAAAGGATCTTTAGTTTTTTTGGAGACTAGATAAAGATGCTTCATATCCCAAGCTGACGTGTCAAGATACACGTGTATTTTGAGTTGAAATGTAGTTTTGTCACTGATCTAAAGAAATAGTTAAGAGTAGAGTAAGATATACAGGAAGGAAACCCTTTCATAATTACTCTGAAGCCAGAGTTTTGTTGATGCAATTTATCCAGTTAAACACAACTTGATAGATATATCAAACACAAACGTGCTCAAACTGAGTTTGAACACAAGCACTTGATTAAACTGTAGATTTTTGCACTTAAACATGGTGCCTCTTGCATACTCAGATTTTAAGAAGCCACGTTCTGTTCTCTCACCAGATGGGAAGCCACGAGCACTGGTTATATAGCAGCCCCTTGTCTAACCGCGCAACAACTTAATGTTGGGGTGCCATAGCAAATAATGAATGATTGCTTTGGAGTACAGTCTGGAGTGCTTGCCAACTTCTCACTTCAGTAATGGCTATTCTTATTTCAGTAGTGGTTTTGAGGACTCAAATGTTGTTAAGCAGATTGCATTTAATGAAGTGGTGGAGATGGGATTATTTTGAACAATACTAATTTTAAATGTAATTATACCTGCCTATACTGGAATGTAAGCTCCATTTTGTAGTGATTGACATTTTTTTTCCTATGCTATAGATGAAAACTATAATAATGCTACAGCTCTTGTTATTACTTTTCCTGTCAACAACTACTACAATGATTCAAGAAAGCTAATGAAGGCCTTGGCATGGGAAAAAGAGTAAGTAGGCTTCCTGTATTCTGAAATGCATACACTACTTGTATCTCCATTTTTAATGGTTATTCTATGAAAAACACCCCTACTGCACTGACAGTTTCTCAATAAAACTACAAGGGTGTTTGAGAAGCAGCAAATCCTGTGAGGGACAGACTGTACTGGTCACGAGGCTTCCCCTTTACCTGGCATGCTTCATTCGCTTTGCGGAACTAGGTTCTAGTCTGGTTAGTGACCATCTAGTCCACTAGTACTTGCTGACAAGTAACTTTAGAAAGGATTTTATATATTTCACTTTGGAGAGTCTACCTGTGTAAGTCTAGCCAATCTACTGGACCACTGCTACCAGCTGAAAGGTCCAGCACTTACCCTCTAATTCTTAAACTGTAATGTTTGTAAAAGTCTTGTAGAGGATGATCTAAAATTTTATCCCCTTCATTGTTTTGGGGAGCTGATGATGGCTTACACAGGTCAACTGCTCTAACAGGTTGGATGGAAACGACTGTACTAGAAAGTCTGAGACTAAGGCAGACGCTCGTTGTATCGTGTCACAAGCACCTCTCTTTAGCCCTTATTACAGTTTCCCTAATAATAGTTCAAGTACTGCAGGCAAGATGCAGTCATATTTCATGTGTGTACTTTTTAGGCCTAGCTTGGAGGAAAACTGGACTTTGAAATAGCTTATGCAAGATACCTGTTGTCCTCAGCCTCTAGAGAGAACATGGAAGGTATTTCAGCATAGTGTATTTCTAGTGCTTGGAGTAAAGTTGTAGGAATGTGTAGTCAGCAGCTCTCCTCTTAAAATGAGGAATGTCCCTCAAAGTACTGTCTGGCGGCCGTGCGCTCTTGTACCACACAGATTTAAATTTGCCTTCAGCTGACTTCCAAGTATTTCTAATAATGTTTTATCCTTTAAGGTGTGACTGACTTCTTTTGTGTTTTTCTTAGGTTTATTAATTTTTTGAAGAGCTATGATAATCCAAACTTAACAATATCGTTTTCTGCGGAACGGAGTATTGAAGACGAAATCAATCGTGAAAGCCAGAGTGATGTTGGCACTGTGCTGATAAGCTATATTGTAATGTTTGTGTACATCTCCATAGCTTTGGGACATATCCAGAGCTGTGGAAGACTGCTGGTATGTGTATAGTTCTCACCGCTATTAACACTGAAGTTACAGCTTGCTGACTAGTCTTTCTTAGCTTTAAGTGACTGAAGTATTTTTGCAAGCTAGTGTTATTCAGTCTTGTCTTAAAGCACTGAGTCATCCTTGGGCAGGAACTAGGGGCAGCACTGTCCTTGTCATACTTGACGATTCCTGTGCTGCATAGCCTCAGCTGTCTTCATTGGTGATGTGCAGTTAGCTTAAGCTTTAAGGCCTGCAGCTTCAAGGTGTGGGGTCTTTTTAAATACCTGGATCTTCAAAAGAACCAGGAAAGCAAGCTTTCTACTAAATACACTGAATGTGAGAATATGGTTTTTACCTTTGCTATAACTTTTCCTGTGTGATGCTGGTTTGGCTGACAGTCATTACAACCTTTTTTTTAGGTGGATTCTAAGATCTCCCTGGGCATTGCAGGCATCCTGATTGTACTGAGCTCAGTGGCATGTTCTGTAGGCATTTTCAGCTACTTTGGAATCCCACTGACACTAATAGTGATAGAAGTAATTCCCTTCTTGGTGCTGGCTATTGGGGTAGACAACATTTTCATCATGGTCCAGACACTTCAGGTACGTATTCTTTCATATGGACTCTTCTAAATAAGACTGTTAGCTTGGAGCAGAAAGCCTTTAAGCATTCTGGTGCTCAGCCCAATCTGAGCAGCTCTGGGCTCTCACCGGATATCTCTGTCATGAAGAGAGCCAAGATCATATGTAAATTCACACACATACACACAAAATCTGAAATGCTTGCTTTTTCTTGCTGCTGAGCCTGGTATTGATCATTTAACATGGATGTGGACCAGAAACTATTTTAACATCCTTCTCTGGTAGCTGCAGAACTTGACTACTACCTTTAATCATTTGTAATTTTAGTGTATTGTCAGCAGTAATCATGGACTACACTGCATGCTTCAGACCAGGGACTTCTAGTGCTGAGACTCAGTGGGTAATCAGCTTTCTAATTTGACCGACTCAAAGTCCTGCAACTGGCACTGCCCCTGGCAAGTGTGTGGCTTTGGCTGAAGTACTGAACTTAGTACTGCGTTTTAAGTTTGAAGCAAGGCAGCAGGGGATGCTCATGCTGCTTTTGTATTAGAGAATATCTGGGAATTTTTATCTAACTTGTGTTAATGCAGTGAAAACAGTAAGAGAAGTTTAGAAGTTTGAAAGCTGTGGGGTGTTTTTAATCTATACAAAAGCACTTTTGAAAGTGCATAATTCTTAATTATAATGTATTATTGCCTTAACACAGAGAGATGAGCGCCTTCAGGGTGAAACCCTGGATAAACAGATTGGAAGAGTCTTGGGAGATGTGGCACCCAGTATGTTTCTCTCATCTTTTTCGGAGACTGTGGCATTCTTTCTTGGTAAGACTTCTTTTAATGTTTGAAGATGAGGGCCTTATCATACCAGCATGTTGCAAGAATAAATGCAAAGCTAAACATGTAAGAAAGTAAGAATCTGTAGAGGAAGTTTTAGCTTAGTTGATTACAGCAGTGAACAAGTCTAACTCAACCTCTGCTGAGGATAGGCACTGTAGTACTTTGAGACTGACACAGTTAAACCTTAGTAACATATCAAATGTTGGGGTGTGCTAACTTCTGCATTGCTTTCAGTCACCTTGCTGCTGCTTGGAGAAATGCCCCTATGACAGATTGTTTGAAGTTCACTCCTATGGAATGTTGGAGTTGTATCTTAGGTTGTTACCCTTCAAGTATCACTTGGCCTTCTTTCATAATGAACTTGTTTACTTGGAGTGTAATTTGCCATTTGTCCTACTTGCACTGAGTGGCTTAATATCGGAGCAAGATCTTGCTTGACAGCACTCCTTATAGCTACCCTCCTATGCAGCCTGCACAAGACTAGTAACTGGAACTGAAGTGTCTTAAAGCTAGTCACTTCTTCGTGCAGCCTTAATGCTGTCAGACAGGCCAAAGACAGCAGTCGTAGCCAGGCTTGGCTCAGCTGCTTCTTTACTCTGAAGAGAGGGGCTCTTTGTCCTGCTAACACTTAAATTGGGTATCTGCCTAGAAAATGCTCATGCCTTTCTGGGAGAAGGGAGCTTGCTTGTGTAACAAACTGGGTCACTTCCTTCAGGGACACTGTCTACGATGCCAGCGGTTCGCACATTCTCCCTGTTTGCTGGAATGGCTGTGCTCATAGACTTTATTCTTCAAGTCACTTGCTTCGTAAGTCTCCTGGGCTTGGATATTAAGCGTCAAGAGGTGAGTATAAATGCACCTATAACCGCAGTGTAACGCTGATGGCATCTTCTACACAACTGCACTAAATCTGGCATTTAATCTGTTTTCAGAGGAATAGACTGGATATTCTGTGTTGCATCAAAAGCAATGAAGAAGTTGGAGTCCAGCGTTCAGAGAGCATCTTATTTCTGTTCTTCAAAAATCTGTTTGCTCCGTATCTGCTTAAGGACTGGATGAGACCCATAGTGGTATGTGTGCTCTGTTTACAGTAAGCAGGCATCTAAACTGAGCAAGAGTGTAGCGAGCCTGAAGATTTTTCTTCAGTATGGAACTTTCAGCACTATGAAACAACCAAAGCCTATAGGATTTTTGCTTTCAGCGTTAGTACTGGAATAACTTTTGTAACTGCACAAGTATTGCTGATAAATAAGAGGTTTCACCTTGGGTTGTCCAAGGCCAGATTTGAGTTGCATTACTGACAATGAAATTGCTTTAGACATATATCAAAAGTCAGCACATGTTGGCCCCTGCACCGCATTCATCTGGAGCGGTGTTGCTGAATCTGTGATTCAGTTTGAGGTTGCTGTGCTTATTTACAGGTGCCTGCCATATCTTTCACTGCTGCCTTCCAAGTATGAATTTTCCCTTATGGCTCCTGTGGGAACTCTTGAGTAGCTAGGTTTTCCTACCGCTGTTGTGCGAAGCCCAGGTAGCCTACCTAATAGCAGCTGTGCAAAAAGGCCCTAGTTTAACTTGGTAAATGGCTTCTATTGCTTGCTGCTTCTGTACAGTTCTTACCTCTGAACTTGCTTGTTCACAGATAGCGATGTTTGTGGGTGTCCTGTCGTTCAGTACAGCGGTCATACACAACGTAGAGATTGGACTGGATCAGTCTCTCTCGATGCCAGATGTAAGTATAGAATCACAGAATCAGAATTGGTTTGGTTGGAAAAGACCTTTAAGATCATAGAGTCCAACCATCAACCCAGCACTGCCAAGTCTACCCTAAGCACCACATCAACTCACCTATTAAATCCCCCCAGGGATGGTGACTCCACTATCTCGCTGGGCAGCCCCTTCCAATGCCTGACAACCCTGTCAGTGAAGGAGTTTTCCCTAATATCCAATCTGAACCTCCCCTGGCACAACTTGAGGCTGTTTCCTATTGTCCTATCACTTGTAACTTGGGAGAAGAGACCACCACCCACCCCCCCACCCCAAGTCTTTAAGATCATGTTGTTCTTCAGCGATTTGTGGCTGAACAGAAACCTTCTGGTCTTGTGCTGCCTTAACATTATGTAGTGGTAACTCAAAACTCTGCTTTTTAGGACTCCTATGTGATGGATTATTTCGGCCACCTCAGCAAGTACCTGCATGCAGGTCCTCCTGTCTACTTCGTCCTAGAAGAAGGGCACAACTACACCTCTCTGGAAGGGCAGAACATGGTGTGTGGTGGAATGGGATGTAATAATGATTCACTTGTCCAGCAAGTCTTCAATGCTGCGGAAATTGGTAGCTAGTAAGTCTTTCATGTTTTTCTCTGCATAGTCACATGGAAGAGATGTGGCTGACCAGTGTGGCCTTTTAATTTAGCTCAGCTGTCAATTGTCTATTGTACTTGGTTATACTATGTTTTTAGGGTGGGGAGGGAAGAAGCTGTGGCAATCTCCTAGAATGAGGATAAAACCAGTCTGGAATGGTGGGATATATTGATGTACTTGGGTTTGGAAAAAGAGATTGATCCTTCAAGGAACTGGGCATGTAACAACTGAAGAGTCTTTCTGAATCCTTCCACTGCAGTTCAGTGGTTTTACATCAGCCTTAGCTGAAGGAGGAGCCTTCAGGCAACAGCATCTGGAATAGGATGGGGCGTAGTGTGGGCAGGGGAATGGAAAGCTGAGCTTGGCAGTGGGACTTGAATGCAGGGAAGAAGCTCCTGCTGTTTCTTAGCTGCAGTTTTAAGAGCAAGACTGGCTCTTGGATGGGGTACTGGTGCAGGGACTACATGGAGAGCTAAGTAACTTGGAGCAGAGTCAGTTGACATGGTGTGAGTGAGCACTGGAGAGATCAAGGGCCTATGTTCTGGAATGAAGCACAACCACTGATGATGGACACCTTGCATTTTTATTAGCACAAGGATAGGCTATGCCCCGTCATCCTGGATCGATGACTACTTTGACTGGGTGAAGCCGCAGTCTTCCTGTTGCCGAGTCTACAATACCACTGGCCAGTTTTGCAATGCTTCAGGTATTGGCACCGTTTTGTCACTGGGGGATTACCTTGGTTTATATGTTTCACAGCCAAAACACTTTATCGCGGTATGAGTCAGGTGAATAGCTTTTGCTGTGGGCAGGCACCTCGCCCTCTCACTTGTTTGAACTACTGCTTGAGTGAACTTAAACGTTCTGCTGGAATGCTGCAGGTTGAGGACAGCCTACCTAGACAGATAGTGTAATGACTATTCAAAAAGTAACCTGTTGGAAAAACTTTGATCCTTCTGCTGGTTCCATTAGTGCTCTGTGTTTGCTTGGATCCCTCACTTTGGTATAAATCCTTATCAGGTCTAAGGTAGGTAGTGCAAAAATCTGAGTTCTCAGGTAGCTCTTGCCTTGGTAGTAAGTAAAAGACTAGAAATTTAATACAGAATTTCAGGGCTGATCAGTGCAAATACTTTTTTATGGAATTGTATCCTGTAGTATTGAAAGTTACTAGTGTTATGACAAAGAATACTTGATCCTGTCGCTGACCACCTTCCTGTATTTGTTCAGTCACCGATCCATCCTGCACTCGTTGTCGACCGCTGACTCAAGAAGGCAAGCAGAGACCGCAGGGCAAAGACTTCATGACGTTTCTGCCAATGTTCCTGTCGGACAACCCTAATCCTAAATGCGGCAAGGGGTAGGAGCCACATCATCCTCTGTGTCTTGCTTTGACTAGTGTGGCAGAGATAGTTGCTCTGGCAGACTGAATTTTATGTCTGCAGGGTTAGATATCTAAAGTCCTTCTGAAAACCATCAAACTGCCATCTCATCTGTTCTCCAGGACTTTTCTGGAACAGAACTGGGAAAACAAATGCATTATGAACTAAATGGAACAGCAGCTTTCCCTTTGTACAAAGAGGAACAACCTCTGTAGTCGGTCTGTTCTAGTATATCCTGTGCAGTCTTGAAATGTATTGTGCTCTGAAGCTTTTAGCCGTTTTGGAAACTGTTAGAAACACTCGAATGGTGCTCACTGACACCTGAACTGTTACTCTGTTTATATAGAGGCCATGCTGCATATAACTCTGCTGTCAACTTTATAAACAACAAATCTGATGTTGGAGCTACGTATTTTATGACTTACCATACTGTACTGAAAACATCATCCGATTTTATTGATGCCATGAAGAAAGCTCGGGATATAGCGGATAACATCACTGAAACCATGGGCATCAAAGAGAAGAACTACCGGGTGTTTCCTTACAGGTACGCTTAGATCTTTCTTGCCTTGGTGAAAACTCTTCAACTTGAGGAACTGTGAAAAGATACTGGTTAATAATAAGACTTGAGTGTTGTCTACGAGGGGGTTATAGAGACTCTGGAATGTCTAGTAGAACCACAAAAACACAACGTACATCCCCAGCACTAACTTTTCTTTACTGTGGTTGATAGCTAACTTAAACCTGTCCTTCACCGCAAGGGTAGCTCTGCCTTCAGCTTGGGCGCTTCCTAGCTTTCACGGTAGGGCTTAATAGTTCTCTCTTTAGCAGATACGTTGGTCTGGGTTGTCACGAGCTGTAGTGTGAACATATTGACTTCAGACTTTGGTTACTTAAAGCAGAGGCAGCAGTGATGCACAAGTATTACACAAGCAATATTGACAGTTATCATACTAAATACTCTTATCCAGAGTGCCCCACTGAAGGAACTGGTGTCTGTACAGCTGAAATACCCCTCTTTGCTTCACAGAATCTTGTTCATCCTTATGGTCTCACAGCATGATCAATCAGTTCAGACCCTCTGCACTAGTTCCTACAGATACCACGATCAGGCTGAGGAGCTACTGTCTGGCAACTACTGTAGCTGCCTATGCTGAAGTGTGGGAATACCCTGACTTCCAGATACAACCTTGATTTGAAGCGTTAGGGAAGAGTTGTCCTAACAGCCAGTGTTCCATAGGAGTCATTCCATTGATGCTAGGAAGCCAGTTCCTTTTCGTGACCTCTAAGGAGGGAACTACTCTGTCCTTAGCACAGAAGCTAATGGAATATTGGCAAATAGTGAGGAAGGTGGCTAACTACAGCTCCTGCTCTTTCCACAGTGTGTTTTATGTCTTCTATGAACAATACTTGACCATTGTGCATGATGCCATCTTTAACCTCTGCATCTCCTTGGGATCAATATTTCTGGTGACAACTGTGCTGCTTGGTTTTGAAGTGTGGGCGGCTGTTGTAGTGTCAGTAACTATCGCTATGATCATCATCAACATGTTTGGAGTGATGTGGCTCTGGGGCATCAGCTTGAATGCGGTTTCGTTAGTGAATCTTGTCATGGTAAGTTTACAAGCCAACCCTTGGCTTTGGTTTCCAAGTCTTGACCAGTTCTGTCTCGTGGGTATGGCAACCGTGATGCTGAGTAGTATTTTGACAGGCAGTTGGACAGTAGTGGAACTACTTAATACCTCTGGGTGGGGTGTCGAAAACAGGTTGGTTGTCACGACCAGTCTTAGCTCAGTTGCTCTATCAGTACTGCAAGCTGTGCTGCATCTGGTGGTGGTCTCGTGCAGCAAGCGTTGTATTGCTGCTGCGTGCTGCTGCACATCGACAGAGGTTGTTCACGCCCAAGGGAAAGATGCATAGGCGAGTGCTAAGGTTTCTGACGTGTTTACGTTCCACGGAGTAAATCCGTGACGTGCTGGCACTGGTAATTCATCCGCTTACACAGGAACCACTCGGGCAGAGTATGCCTTGGTGAAACACTGCGGAACTTGGCTGCTAATAGCGGGGTGCTGGAGCTCTGGCTGAGGTTACTTGCTAGAGATTCATCATAGGCCTGACCGAGTTAGGAGTGAACTGCCGCCCCACGTTACAACCAGGCGTTTGCTCGTGCCAGTCCGCCCGCTGGCAAGTCTTGGACTCGCCCGACTGTTGAATGGCCCTTCGCAACACTGACTGAAAGGGCTCGCTCTCGAGGTTAGAGCGAAGCGTTAGACCCGGCCGAGTCTTTATGGTACTGAATCGGCACACGTGGTCGGTGTTACTCTAAAGCAATGACTGGTGGCAGAATGCCATGTGGTACCTGCAGCAGCCTCTGGGAAGCAAATAACGCAGAGCTTATGACTCCGTTTTCACCCTGGGAAGCGAACACAGCTGCTAGATCCCCTCTAGCCTGTCTGGAGTTCCAGGTAGGGACCTTACCGTCAGCGTGTTCATCTAAACAATATTTCCATGCATGTTTCTCTTAACCCTAGAGTTGTGGTATTGCTGTGGAATTCTGTAGTCACGTGACGAGAGCGTTCACGGTCAGCACGAAGGGCAGTCGAGTAGAGCGTGCAGAAGAAGCTCTGTCTCACATGGGCAGTTCGGTGAGTAGCTACTGTATGGGGGCGGAGGGGGAATGAGTAGCCATGTAACAACTTTACGGACCCTACCAATATCCTTAAAGTTGTCATAAGGATGGCCTTGCCTTTTCTTTCTGGAATACTGGATTAAAACCTAGAGGTCACCCTAGGCTTCTGCTGGTAACAGGCATGATCAAGACTTGGTTCTTAGTCTGGTGTTACTGCTGCCTAGTAATAGAGCTAAAAGCCTCAGCTGAACTAGTAGTTTGGATTAACCCTGGATTGTCCCATTAAATTTAAGACCACTTCTTCCAAATACTCAGAGGTGACTCAGAAAGGTGGTTGTGAATACGGGATGCAATTGAAGCCTTGGGAATGCGAGCAGGGCTCAGTATTTTGGCGGTATGGTCATGTCAGCAGTGTGAGTAGGTTAGAACAGACTGATCTATAAGAGACTGGTTGGAGTGAGTCCAG